GCAAAAAGACCCTCTTGGAGGAGGGCTGCATGACCACCAAATTCTTCTTCATCAATCTTTAGAATCATTGCATAATAACCATAAATAATTCCTGAGGAGATGAGCAGAAAACTGCAAGAAAGAAAAATTAACAGAAAACATGAATGAAAAAAGGGGTTTACCATTGAAAAATAAGAAAAACAACAAAGAGCAAAGCATGTTGATCATAATTGTTACCACATCACAGTGCAAAGTAGTGACACAATTACGAAATCAATAAAATTGAATTATTTAAAGAAAAATTCTTTAAAAAGATTAGTTGGCAGTATGAAACACATTGACGTCTAACCATACACTAACCCTCCCTTTGTCAACTACCCAGTTTCCATTCCCCCAACCTTTTTCATCACATGATATCTATAATTTTGATATTTATGCCACAAATCCACACTCTGGGATTAATGAGATATTACCGACTTTCAATAGTGCAATGCTATCCTTGCACCACAAACAAGCTGATCCTACTTTCAATGTGACTAAAAAGTCAACTTCAAGTATCATTTGCAATTTACCCCCATTCTTTAAACTAGTAGCATCCACTCCATTGAGAGCCAGTTTTTTTAATTAAAGAGATTGTCAGGTCTGCAAACACTTTTCTAACATCTTGTGCATGCAGTATAAACTTGCGATTTCACAATTGACAAGTTACAGTGGAAAAAACACCCTGAACCAAGCAGAAACTTAGCTTAACCAAAAATTAGAAATACTATCTTGGCTCAAGTCAAGCCCCTAAGGGATAAACGGTTAGAAATCTGCCCCAACAGTAAAACGCAACAGCTGAGGGCCCCCTTCTCTTTAGGAATATATTTTGCATTCCATGGGGAACTTGCCAAATCCCTTCTAAACTACTAATTTAACTTAAGAGTATGACTTGAACTAACACTGCTGCAATGTAAACAGAGCCACATTGCTGACTAAGACTGCAAGTCCATTACTACTATATTAAAATCACTCATAGGTAACATGAAACCCCAAGCGAAGCTTATACACCTCCATAACTGTAGGGAACTCATTGATAAATCAAAACCATATACACACAGTATCATGAAGCATAGCTCTTTAATATCCAACAAAAGAAACATTAATAAAACTAGAAGGAACAGGACTTCACAACCAAATCTAGACGCCTTTACAAATGAATTTCTGCAACATAAACTCTGAAACTTACACAAGGATCCATATGCCTCCAACCAAAGGTATTGCACCCCATAGCAAACCGCATACCAGAGCCACCACTTGCCGAATCCAATGCAAAACATCTCCCAATTGATCCTGCTCCCAGAATAATAATAATAATAATAACAAAAAATCAGTAATTTAAATTATACCAATAAAAAGTCCAATTCATACATGATTATCTACAAAGAGTCAAGAACTAATTTTGACACAAAATCAGTGAACCCATTAGTGGATTATCGTGAAAAAGAGTATGAATTAAGTATCAAAAGCAACTATTCTATGGCAACTAATAAGGTTGAATATCCAAAAACAAGCAGAAAATGAAACCCATTACTAAAGCCTGGAACACAGTCAAAACAAAAGGAATCAATCAAAGAAGAGAATCCCACGATGAGGAAGTTCAAAATCAACGAACCTTGTCCCAAGAAGCCTCTGGATCTAACAACTTGGCGAATTTGAAAGGAGATAAGTGGCCGTTCTGGTGTTGGTGTTGATGCACATTGGATTTAACGGATTTCCCTTCTTTCATGGTAAAAAAAACTGATCGAAATTCAATGGGTGAAAAAGTACAAACAAACTGATTGTTGATGGAGAGAAGTTAATTAAAAATTCAATTTTGGGGTGGGGGAGAATTAGGGTTTAGGAATTGGAAGGTGAAGAAGAAGGAGAGATGGATTGAAGTTGAAGTTGGAAGGAGGAATAGATGTAACGAAATTCCTAAAATGCTTCACTGTAGATCTAATCCAAGCTGATTGGAGATTGGTCGTTCAGTGGAAGATTAATTTTATGTTTTTCCAATTTTATTCCCGCTATTCTTTTGACCAAGAAAAACGAAAAAGAAAAGGTAAAAACCCTTCTTAATCCCCAAATTTATACAAAAATAACATTTAA